TATCGAAATTTAAATTTAATTCCTAATAATATTAATAGTTATAGAAAATAATATGTTTGTACTAATTCAAAATGCCTGACTTAGTTTGAATAGTCTTCTTATAGTGGCCACTAATTTCAAAGGGGGATAAACAATGGTACATATGGATAACAAAGTGTCGTCGTCGTCCGTTCCGACGCCTCGGGGCATCTCGAACGTTTATGCAAACGGTTGCGATATGATGGTTTAGACTCATGTTTTTCGTAAAAATATGATCATTGCTTCCGAGGTGCTCAACAACCGAACTAACCTCTAATAAAAGTAAAGTTTTCGTAAAGAGGGTTCTATGGAGTCGCCATCAATATTTTTACCATAAACATTGAAAAAAGATAAAAGAAAAGACGTTGATTTTAAGAAAAACCAAACTTGGTCATTATAACCAAAATAAAGTAGTTACGTGTGGGGAAAGTATTAGCACCCCACAACGCCCCTTTCGGGTTCCTGTGACAGATTAATTCATAAAATAAAGATTAAGAGAAATTATGCTATTACCCTATTTTATTACACAATATTAAAATAACTATCTACATGATCCTATTTTCTATTGCACATAAAAAGTAGTAAATAAAGTAATAAAAGAGAAGAGTAATGAAAAGAACCTCCGAAACAAGCTTTTATTACAAATCTTCAACTTTGAGGATGCTTTTTGGCTATCCTCCGCACTACAAGGGCTCTCCTCTCCCGGATACAAGAAAAAAACTTTAAACTATCGAATGTCGGATATCTCAAAAGAGACTTCCTTAACCGATTATTACCTTATAGGCAATCGGAAAGATCATTCGAGAAGTAGAAGAGTAGAGAGAAGTGAAGGTGTGTGAAAAAGTTACAAATGAGGCCCCAATTTATAGTTTTTCGCTGCCAGGACCTCGGGACGACCATTTCACCCTCAGAAAGGTGAGACGACCGTCTCAGTTGCCTTGAGACGACCGTCTGGCCCTTGGGACGACCGTCTCAGGGAAAAAAAATCATCTGGGACGTGCGTCTGGCCCTTGAGATGCGCATCTCAGCCCACTTGGGATGGCTGTCTTGACTCTGGGACGATTGACTCGAGTGTTTTCTCCAATTTTTGTGTTTTATTGCTTTAGAAAAGCTTTCCTTTCTTCAGACGGAAGTCGATTGATGTTGTTAGATGCCCACTGAAGCTTTACCCACCTTCAGAGTGAAAGTCTCCTGATCTTTATTGCGAGACCGTGCAAATTTTGGGGTCTACACAAAAGGTTTTGAATTGGTATGGCTTTTGGAGTAAGGGAACCGAGAATGCACCCTTGGATTTTGGAAATGCGTGCATGATTTTTTCTTTTCACGAGATGGAGATTGCATTTATAATCACATAATTGCTATTTTACATTGAACAAATATGAGAATCTACCAAATAGACTTATAAGTCGTATTATAACGAATATATTCAAAATCTCAAAATTCAAGATGGCAAGGAATGAAGATGTGGAAAGGAAGGGGAGTTTTCTTTTCTTCTTTTTTTTTTCCAAGAGGGACCAAAGACTAGCAAATATCTAAATCACTACACTATGGGATCATGTTGTATGGGCACCATGGGTCCTTGAAGCCCATATTCCAAAGACAAGAAACTAGAAAACGAACAAGATTGGCCAATAACGTGCAGGTCCATACTTGATTCTGGTAAGCACAAACTGCAATACCCACAAGTATACAAAAGAAATAATTAGACTCTGGAATTGAAATAAAATAGAACAGTTATGAATATGCCAACTAAGATCAAGCATGTTCTGTATTTAAACGCGCAAGAAGAGAGTCAAGCCCGGAAAGAAGTGTTCATTAGGTAGGAGAACCTCAAGCAGCATTGTTAAGATTATACTGGTACAAGGTCATACATATAAGACAATCCTACTCGAGTTAGATAAAAACATAGTCAAGTCTCAATCCATCCAAACATAACCAAATTTGCACAAAATACAAGGGGGAGCAAAAGGAAGGGACACAAAGTACTTACTAAGCGGAAGAAAACCACCACTGCTAAAGCACAAACACTTCCAAGTAAGATATGAAGGCCACTACCAACAGTTTTTTGGACAAGAAACACAGGTTGTATTATCCATATGCTTCAAACCAAATCAATAAGGAAGATAAAACTGAAAGTCCCACTATAGAGAATGATAGTGAATAGAATAAAGGAAATTGATGGTGACTTGAGCGAAGCAGATAGATAAAACTGGAGAGGAAAGACCTCTAAAGTACAAACATTTCCCACCTAAATTACCAAAAGTTAATCCAGTAGCATCATGCAAACTGAGAGAAACTAGTTGTTTAAATAAAGTATTATTATATCACCTAGGGAATAAATGTTCAAAAATTGAAGTTGACATTCTTGCAGGGTTGATATGCAACCCAATCTAATCTAAATCATACTTTCTAGTTACAAATATTAAACAGAATCTGAGATTCATTTTACCAGATATTATAAGGACTGCATGTAAATGAATCATGTATGTCTTATAGTAGCAACCATAAAAATCAACATACTTCATAGTATACACCACAAAGATAATCTGATCAATGACCACTCAATTTTAATATGATTAACAACTTCTTTCTATTGCCCCAAATTTCATTTTATCTTTCATCATTGATTGCATACATAAATTAGATTCTCAAAGACAATTCTAAAGGATGTTGAATAAAACTAACCCTTGTGTGGGAGTTTATTGAAACCGGTAGGAAAATGAAGGATTATCATTTAGGAAAGGTATTACTTGACCTTTCATTCTGTTTGCCTCCTTTCCCTTTTATTTTCTTTTTTATCAACTACTCCCAACTCCTAAATTTGCACCTACAAATTGGATCCCCGACAAGATGGCTCGCGGCCGAGGCGATTGAGGATCGCGACAGCGATATGCAAATAAGGCTGAGACTTGACGGCCATAGGTGATGTAGGACTCGTAGTGGCTGGCACAGTGGTCTAGGGGTTTGTGTTGGTGAGTTCGATTTGGGGTTATTACAAGGGTATGGAAAAGTGGAGATGCAGGGGAGGAGAAATGTTGGGATGAAGGTGGATGGTTCCAATGATACTTGGTGGCACGGGGTGGCTAGGGGGCGAGGTGAGCGTAATGGGTTGTAGTGAGGGTGGTTCTAGGGTGGCTTCGAGCTCACCTCAGTGGTGGATGGATAGGGTGGAGGCACAGTGGAGAGCGAGGCGCAGAGGAGGTTAGCGACGCCTAGAGTGGAGGCTACCGGCACGGCTAAAGCCTGTGATGGCTGGCCGCGCGCGTTTGGGAAAATAGTGGAGGTGTGGGCGGTGAGAGGGTTGAGCGAGTGCACCCGTGATGGAGGATCGCGACTCTGGCAGATGGGGCTGGACGGCTGAAGGCGTGGTGGGTCATGGTGGAGGCTTGGCCGGTGACTGGGAGTCTGGTGATGGGTAGCCTCTGAAGGGGTGAGGATGATAAGTGAAATGGGTCGAGGCTAAGGTGTCCGCGCGAATTGGGAGTCTGGTGATAGGTAGGTAAAAGATACAAGACCTCCAAAGAATTGGGTGCTGACAATTTTTTTTTTTTTAATTACACATCCGTAAGTAAATGTGTAGGTAAAGTATAAGTATTACCTATTTCTTATATCCGCAGTTAATGTATAATAGGTAATGGATAATATACGTATATATATAAAATTTCATAAATAATATTTGTATGTAATATATTTTATTTACATAGATAATATTTTATAGATAATATCTTTTTTTTATTGAAAAATTTTAGTGTTAATTTTCTAAAAAATATTCAACAATAATATATAGAATTGATATTAACTATCTCGATTAAATACAAAATGAATTTGTTATGGATTTTATAAAAAGTGTTATTGAGATGAATTTTAAATAAATAAAATGAGAAACTTAATTAAAGTGAGAAAAACGTCACAAAACTTAAAATTTAAAATTTAATTTTTAAAAAATATTTCATATTCATTTTGAATAGTAATCTCATTAATAAAAAGTTATCGTCTTAACCGTACAAAAATACCGATAAATATGGTGTCAAAGTGAGTTAACTCAGCTCACATGGGTTGACTAATTACGGATTAAGCTAAAAAAAGGTGAGTTCAATCCGACTTAATTTATAGTGAACTAAAAACTTCACTACTCGACTTAATCTACTACAAGTTGTTAGGTTAGGTATCAAAGTGAGCTAACCCGGCTCACACGGGTTGACTCACTATAGGCTAAACTAAAAATAAACGAACTTAATCTAACTTACTTTATAGCAAGTTAGAAATTTCATAACCTGACTCAACCTAAACCTAATATAGATTATTGAGTTAGGTAGGTTAATTCACTAATCATGTTTATTTGGTCTTTTTTTTTTTTTAATAAGTACGACTGAATTATGAGACTGAAATATAGTGATATAATGATAAAACAAACGTTGTGTTGCGATTAAAATATAACAACCCCTATAATACGACTGAAACGTAATGATACAATGATATGATAAATGTTATGATAAAACATACACAATACGCTATGATATAATAAACACAATAAATATAATAACACAATAACGTGACAAACGGATAATAAGCTCCTTAAGTAAAGAAGAAATATGTAATGAATCAAATAATTGATAACAAACTTAGTTAATGTTTAACTTATAATAATAACGTAAAATAAAGATAAAAAAAAGATAACATTAATTAAAAATTTTAAATTATTATAATTATTTTTAAAATTTAAAATAAAGTATGAATTATATATGGATCATCAATTTACCGTAACTTGACCCAAATTCTATTAACTAAAGGATTAAATGTGCTTGATTTATTTGTCTGCTCGTAAGATACTCAAGAACGAATTTTCGTGTTTAAGTAGATTTTGTAAACAGAAAACTAAGATTTAAACATCTAATCACTTGCTTAAGATTGAGTCTAGCAGGTTCCGTAGAAACATCTAGCTAGCAGTGTATACTGAGTATAAGACCTCTGTCCTATTTTGAATGCACGTCCAACATCAATCTTACGCTCAGATTCCAATCATATCAAAGTCTCAAATGCAAGGAAGCATGGCCCTAGACCGTAGGGTGGGTGTGAGGTCATTGGAAAGTGGTATTTGTGCCAACCGCCAAGCAATGGGCATGCAATCTAACTGGCCCTACAAATTACAAATCTCTCTGCCTGCATTATTTAGTAGTACTGTCCTTTACATGGTTGTCTTGGTCTGTCAAAAGGGTACGGATGGTCCTATAGTTGGTACGGGCCAGTAAGGACAGTAGAGTACAGATGTAGTACCTTGTCAAAAACCCTTGCCCATGCATGCATCTACTACATTTTGTGGTCAAGTAGTTCGCCACCATGCCACCTATGCTACTGTTATTTGCCAATTTTCATGGGAAGCTCGCGCATGGATACACATATGTAGGCCAATATGTTTAGCATAGGTAAAACAAAAAATATATAAAATGATCCTCATTTTAGTTAAAAGACTTGGCTAGTTGCATAAATAGTATATTTCATTAGCCTCTATCAGTTTTCATTTCAGGTGTGACAGTAGGTGAACTGTTTTGCCTTTCAATCTTGTAATTTTGCTCTGTTTTGCCTACTCCTTCATTCGTCTATCAAATTGCTCCCGTTTTAAACGTTAAGACAAAGTTGACGATGGGCCTTAACAAATAATATAAACTCCAAACACAAATCCATTCTTTTAATACATAAATAAAATTTAGGTCCCTATATAATAGTTTTCATATTTTTGAATAAATAATAATTTTGTTTTGAATGTGTAAGTCATTTAAAAAAAAAGTGAAAAATCTGATTTAGTTTTTGAATGGGTAAAACATTCAAATTACTTCATAATATTATAGTTTTATGATAACATGATTTATTATTAAATTGGTGACTAAAGATATTTTCTAATGACAAAATTAATAATATAAAACTTAAAAGAATATGATATATATAATTAATAGAAGGTTTAAAACCAAACCAATAAATAAATAAAATAAAAATTTAATAAAAAAATACAAAATCATTTAAATTAAAATTTTTGAATTTTAAAATTAATTAGTTCAATTCGGTTTAATTTTTGGCTTTACAGTAAAAAATTATTAAAATCAAACTAAACTAAAATAGAATATTTAATATTAAAATTAAAATATAAGATTATATTTATTTGAGTGAACTAATTAATTTCTTATAATTTTCATGTAATATTACTTTTTAAAACTGATTGTGGAAACATATAAAAATAAATTAGAATTAAAAATATCATAATTAACTCTATTAATATTTTAAAATGTATTTTTTATTTAACAATTATTTTATTATAATTTTAACAATTTTATAATAGAAAAAAAAACTAAAAAAATTATTTAAACCAAACGATAAAATATTAATTTGATTTGATTCATATTAAAAATAAAATCGAATTATATTTAAATTTTTTATTTAATTTAACTAATTTTTTAATATAAAATAATATCAAACCGCATTGCGAACCCTCTTGATAATTAAACTCTAAAATAAATATTTCGTTCCTTCGAGTACTAAATTAATCATGTATTGCGTTTAAGAAACAATTTGATTATTTAGCCTATTAAATTTAAATAAACTTTTTATAATGTTTTCTAAATGCTTCACTATATATTACAAAGACGGAAATATAATATAACCAAGTTTTGCAAGATATGAGCCTAATTTGTAAAATTATTAATATAAATAGATTGCAAGAGAGACAAATCCACAAAAGTTTTTTAACATAAACATCATCATCATTAAACAAGCTAATTGACCAGGCTGAACAGAATTTTTAAATGCGCTGATTCACCAAGCCAAGCAAAATTTGTGTAATTTAAGGATTGTGTATTTTTTTTATTTATTTAAACAAGCTTGAAAAATATTTTAGCCTTATCTTAATAGTAGTTCTCAAAAGTGTTGGGGAGTCTTATTTTCATCCCTGTGATTACTCCACGTTCCAACTTCGAAATTGAAGTATTGGTAAATTTATAAGATGTATCATGATCATGTTCACACATAGATACTTGGTAAGGAAACAAGAGAAGTAAACCAATTCGAGAAGGTCCAGCTAATCGAATGGATAAAACCCATTTGCAAATGAAGTTTCCTTCAAACTTCCAACAACCAGAGCCTTCCTTGTCCCAGAATATTTGCTGAGAAAATTGAAAATCAAATTGAGCGTGGCAAGAACATGTGCGCATCATAAATATGAAATCAATGGCATGTCAATGACCGTACTCTTAGCTGCCACGCCCAATTATAAATCCATTTTCATGCTATTTTCTTGGGTTGTTAATCAAGAAAATGTTGATGCAGAGAATTACGTGTCTTGAATTTTGATCTATATTCTGTGTTCTCTCTACAAGTCCCAAGCATGTAACAAAGGAAGGAAGCAGGAAAGAAGGAGAGGACATGTACGGATTGACGACACTATTCTCTTCCCACATGCATTATCATTGGGGACTGCAACTGCTAATTTGGTGTTACTATTAATCAATTTCACTCTCATTAATTGTTCAGTTTCAATTCAAAATAAAGGCACAGCCACACGCAATTCTAAGTTTTTATATAATTTGATAGTATCTGATTATATTGTAGCTAATGATTGTTGCATAGCACAACCTCTGAAGGATAAAAAGTGTCCAGTTAATACCTAAAACCATGTTAAGAAGGTTACTCATCTAAATTAGTTTTGACTTTTCTTGAGATAGTAGTTTTAACAAATTATAAAACAATTTATGGACATTTCCCTCTCTTTTTATAATCTGGGAATTCTTACTCTGCAATTCTTACACATTGTAAGGTCGTTGGTGGCGCAGACAATAGCAAAATCTTTGCTGTAAAGTTGACAAAACTCATGCTCATGATTACCTACTTCATAAACTTGAAATAAAAAAGTAAAATGTATTTATGCATTCAAATGTTAGTGATTTTTTTTTTGTATTCTGTTCATCCCTATAGCGATTATCTATATATTTTTCTCCATGAGGACTGAATTTTATAATAATATTTAAAAGAGCAGAGGAAACCCTTTGAAGTTTTGAACCTGTGAAAATCAACTTTGACCCAAGTTAGAAAGAGTCATTTGCTCCTAAAAAGCGCTTTCTTTTCCTCACATATCCTCCAGCATGTGAGCTGAGCTGGCAATTTCAAAAGTAAAAAAGAACAGTTTGCCTTTTTGTGTGGGGAAAATCATTTATATATATAGTCTGAAACAACTACGATTAATGTTCTTAATCAACTTTCACAATATGTTTCATATATAAATTGATTAAAAGTATAATAAACTAACGAGAAAGGAGATTCTATTGAAAACCTTAATGAACTGAGAAAACTGAATTGCTTCTTCTTGCATTGACCTTTTGGTTTTTGTGTTTCACACACATAAGCGATGCTGAACAGTTAGATTAGACATGTCTTTGATAAGATTAATTAATAATTACATAGCAATCATATGATAAAAGTTAGAAAAATAAGAGTGAAAGTAATGATATCATACGTATGGGATTACTGAAAAGTATAAATAATTCAAGTAAGAGGGAAAAAGCAGTGCAAAAGTCAAGTTATGCAGGCGTTAGCAATAGCAACCAAAGTAAGCATGGTTATAATACCGTTGAGGAGTGAAGGTTTGGTTTATTATAATGTTTCCGTAGTTTAGAGAGAGAAAAGGATAAGAGACATAAGCCACAGTTGATGAGGAAAGGAGGGTCCATGACGCGGTTTTGCAGCTGAGTACAGAGAAGCAACAGCTGTTCGATTGCATATGCAAATGGCTTCACTGTTGAACTGCGCGTCGAGTGTTGTGTGTTTATATATTTTACCTTCCAACTTTTTGTGCTTAACAGCTTTAGTTCAAATCCCTGTCAAGTATCAGCACCTGGAAGCTGCCTCTTAACCTAAGAGAATCCAATGTCTCTCTCGATCTCTATGTAAAAAATATTTATGGAAAAAACAATATAAAAATGATGGTATAAGATAACATATAATAGAACAATATTGCCTTCCTGATATAGTATGATGTATTTTTTTATTGAAACTTTTATGTGGCAAACTTAAGTAAAAGTATATTTGTTTATTCAGGAAAATTTTCACAGGGTTTGGTCCACTACATCATTGGGTGAAAAAATATTCACTGTTAGCAAAGATACAAATTTGCCCTTACTTTTAGAGCTCAATCTAAGATTAATAAATTGGGGGGGGGGGGGGGGTCACCAGGTAAAGATGAAGACTTATTCCCGAGTCAGACCAAAATCAGACAGGAAGATTAGTGTGAGCTTTTTTATTTTCCTGTTTCTGATTGGTCCATAGGATTCGAGTTTAATGCATCCATGGATCGCCCACCTTCAACTATAAGTCATGGTGTTTGAAAATTTTTGTGCACTTGCAATATGCTGTCCTTTTAGTCATTTGATTTGAGTTGTATTAACCGCCCTCTGAAGTTAGTATTAACCAAAAAGTCGTACCTCATTTTACTTTGTACCACCGTAGAATAAATCCTCCTTTGACCTTCAGCATCCAAAAAATGACTAAATCAAAACCCTCCCAGAAGAACATTAATTTTTAATGCACTCGGAAGCAGCCTCATTCATGCCATGTGATAAAGAAAACCAAAATTTGCTAAAAGAACAAGCCATATATTTTTTATGCTTGATGGTAATTAGATAAGTTATATTAGTGAAGTAAATAAACATTTATAGATGATATGCAGCACGAGTACAAATTTAGAATATGGTCGTAATGAAGTATTGGTGTGATTTTAGTTTAGTATAGAGATATAATCGTGGACAAAACATATTTATATATAAGTGTTTTTCTTTAGTTATTTGTTGTTAAATGTTGTAGAGAGTCTATAAAAAAAATCAACAGAAAAAAATGAAAACAAAAGCTTGACATGTGGTAAGTGGCATGAGTATATCTTACACATATGAAGGAAGCTTCAGTAAGAAAGGACAGAAAAGTAATTTTGAGAACTAAGTTGTCTGTATTAAATTCAAATAAACTAAAAACAATCTGGCAACAATGTCGTATCTTGACTACCGAGGATTTGCTAGTTGCTAGCTTGAGACGCAAGCCTCTGTGTGGCTCTGTCAGTCTACTATAAATAGTGGATTTCTTCTTCCCACATTCACTTCTAATCTGATTCTTTTCCCCACTTTCAGAACAGCAAGGAGGTAGAGAGAGAAAAGAGAAACTGTTACTCAACAAAAAGAGCAAGAAACCTCTTAAACACGTACCCTTACTTTCTACCTTAGAAATAACCACTCTTCAAACACTTTCTATTCACTCCAGAAGGATCTTTGCACTTGCAGCCATCTACCATGGTTAAGTCAGAGCACAAGATCAAAACTGAACCATCATCGAAGGCAATGCCGTCTATATCATTGTCATCAGCATCAGCACCAGCACCAGCATCGGATAGCAAGAAGAGGAAGTACAAGGGAGTTAGAATGAGGAGCTGGGGGTCATGGGTTTCAGAGATTAGAGCACCAAACCAGAAAACAAGAATATGGTTAGGCTCTTATTCAACCCCAGAGGCTGCAGCTAGAGCTTATGATGCTGCACTTCTATGCCTCAAAGGCTCCTCAGCAAATCTTAATTTCCCTTTAAGCTCTTCACAATATATTCCTGGAGATGCTGTCATGTCCCCCAAATCAATTCAAAGAGTTGCTGCAGCCGCTGCCAATAGTTTTGACAGGGCCACTATTCCCCCTTCTGCGTCTCCAGCCTCAACCTCATCATCATCATTGGTCTCATCCCCCTCAATGGCCTCCTCTCCTTCGGATCAAGTTGATGACGATGTCTCACTGATATCGTCTTTGGAAGCCTACACTAGTTGTGATCAAGCAAATGAATCAATGGCTATGAATGTGATGGAACCTTGGTACACTTTTGGTGATATCCAATCCCCCAAGTATGTTGATCAGATGTTAAGTGGTGCTTTCTTTGATGTTGATTCGTCCCATCTGCTTGATGATCTATACGAAGAAAGCGACATTCGGTTGTGGAGCTTCTGCTGAGAAAAACTCAAGCCGACTCCATATTTTTCTTTCCCAAAAATTCTATTCGTTTGTCTTCAGTGGTATAACTTGAAGATGTTACTGACTGTGACCAAATTAAAATTACCGTATGCTACATAATAGTTCATATTAGATGAAATTCATATGGACATAAGACAGTTTTTGGTCTCTTTTATGTGGATTTCTAAGAGTTTGAAATTATGTATCATTGATGCAAAGCTTGTTATGTCGATGTCATGAATGGTTTCCCATGTTTTCACAGAATAAAGGGAGAATTAAAAAAATATAGTCATCCATATCCTTAGTAATAAGCAATTCCTTTCACTGTTATGGGAGAAGGCTTTTGCTATTCTGAGTATCTTTGGCAAGACCTTTGTTGCATGGGAAGGTATCAAAGATGCTTATTTCCTATTCAGTGAGAATAGGGAACCATGTACAGAGCGTGGTAACTTGAAACCATTGGAAAAAGTGTGTCTTTTCTAGCAGTGTCAGCTCTCCTGCGTGCCCAAAGAACAAAGACTGTGCCCTTGTTTTGAGGTCTAAGTTTGGTATTTTGTTCCTTTTTCTTCTCACATATGGGAATAAATCCTTAATTCCAATTTATGCATAGTGCACTGTGATCGATTTTGGGTTAGAATTTGGGAATATGCTTTAAACTAATTGAGTTGGGGAAGGCAAAAAAATAATGTAATTGAATATCAAAGATGATTTGATTGAATATTGATTCCTCAACATTTTTTTTGTTATTCAATTGGGCCAACTTTGTTTGCTTTCATAGCATATGATATCTAGCAAAAAAGAAAGTTCTAGTCATGACTGTTGATGCAAGCAACTCTTTATTTTGTACTTCATGGTAGTGTAACGTGTTCAGAATATTATATGCAAGATCATATTCTTTACACAATGAGAAGGCTAGACAAACCTTGACGCTTTTTGGCCAACTTTTCAACCCCATCATGTGTTCGAACCATATGGCTCAGCTGATTCAGCAGACATGACCTGTCCTACAGTGAAATGGGCTAAGGCATGGGATGCCATTCTCTCTTGTTCTTTTTACCTTGCATCTAACTAGTCTCAACACAACATGGACAAAGTGGCTTCCATATGATTTTCTCATAATGGGAGGATGCAAGAAAGCTTTTGCTTTTGGTATTACTTGTTCATGTATACCCAGGAAGAAGGGCAGGGGATCAACCCTTTCCTTTGACACTTTTGTTGTTCTGCAATCTACATGCATACATTCTCGGCCCTACATAGCATTGTATCCCTAAGGCATTGATTTAATTTAGCTTATTCTCTATTTTATGCACATGAAAATGATATAACTAAATGACAATTTAAATGTTGCGTTTTGAGACACAGCATGTGAGTGTCCTTATTTTGGCCATCAGCATGTGATCTCAATATGTCAATCAACACGCCATTGTAATAAATCATGTAAATTATTGGTGTTTCTGTTTGATATTAACAAACGATTGCCTTGCTCGATGCAGTGTCCGACCAAATTTGTGATCTTCTGCTTAGGTAAAATGCATTACTAGTTTTAAGTGTGTGCTCATACCAGTAACATGTGCTACAAGCTATAGTTAGTAGGCTGGTCATTACTAATTTTAGGTTTAGTGATATCTCTCAGATAAAGAAGCCATTGGTTAAAGTATAAACATTTGTTAGGTATTTCATGTGGGATCAGTCATTTCTGATATATAATGATTGAGAAAAAAAAATAATTGGGCACCAAAAAGAAAAAGGTAGGGGTAGGGAGGTGGAGATCCAACATTAAGCATGATTTAAATGATCCATGCTTGGCCTTATTAAGACATAATTTGAGTGAAGTGTTGATTAATCAAGAATCCGGGTAGATTTCAATCAATGAAACGTTTATTGTATTTGATTTGTTTCACATGGAGCCCTTTCCAACAACGCAGATTATTGCAACATTAGATGCATATTAGTATTTGCATTAACACATGAAGTGATTTTTAAACCGTGAAGGTGTTTTTTCTTCGTTCAGTCACTGTGCAGCACACAGTATTTAACTAAAATGGGACAATTTGGTCTAAAACTGTGAGTGAAAGTTTGAAACTATTTTCTGTTGACAGTGGGCATTTGGAATTCTATGAGCTACAGTCTTAGTTGGCAAACTGGACACTTGGGGATTACAGTTGTGTAAACAAACCCTAATTATCACTATCAGAAAAGACGAGTACTTCAACAAATTATGAGTTACAGAAATAATTAATTATTTTACATCATTCACTGATTAGAAATATGTGAAATAGGAATTATAGCTTTTAAAATATTTATTATATTACTTTTGTGTTTTATAATAAAAGTTTAGTTTTAATGAATAATGGACAAAAATAATAGAAGGATAAGGTATAAATCACAATGTATTTTTAAAAAAAGATTTTTAATTTAAAAAAGTTATCTATTATCTAATTTTTTCAAATAAAATAAAAAAGTTAAGATTTTTCAGTCTTATGTGGTAAGAAAAAAATAGAGCTTATTCTTGAAAGTAGAAAGCATACCCTTTTGTAATGATACCCATTTTGTTTTTCAAAGTGTTCTTCTCAATAAAAGAACTAAAGTATCGTATAACTTGCCAAACTTACAAATCTTCTAGTTTTCATAACAAAATTTCATTCCAAACTGTTTCATGGTGAAGTTTTTTACATAATGTGTAAAAGTCAACAAATAATAGTATAAGAGACAAAAAAAAAAATAGTAAACAATTAGGTGATAATGGATATTTCTTCTTATTTTAGTATACCATTTCTTAAGTCGAAATATTTTTTTATTTTCAATATTTTATTTTTGATAGATACTAATAATAGAGATTCTCAGGATTAATCGAGAATATCTTTAATAAAAAAATCTGAAGACATTAATTATAATTTTTTTTATTTATAAATTATTCAATTTTACTATTTATATTTAATACGAGACTTTAAATTTATATTTAAATTCTTAATACATATTCTACATTAAAATAAAACTCATAAAAAAAAATTACATTTGTGGTATTTTTGAATCTAGCATACACTTTTAAAATACACACTACAAAAATAAATTCTAAATAGGCTAATCTAGAACTCATTCTAAATTTATGTTTTCCACGTTTATATTCCAAATTCAACAATCAATAATATATTTTCCTATTTTATCTTCCAAAAATATGTTTTAAATTGTTCAATCATGACTATATTTCATAAAAATACAATTCATAAACGAGTTTCAAATTATGTTTTTTTTAAATCAATCTTTTTTGAAAATTTTCCGTTGTAAATTTTTCCAAAACATTTCAGAATCAATTTTCCATAATATTTTCGGAAAGTTTCTCAAAATTTCAATCCAAAAAATTTTAAAACCCTACTTACATTAGGAATAAAATAATATTATTAATGGGCGTTGAGATTTATCTGCCTGGATTAAATCGGTATAAGGGGTTGCTATTTGCACTCTCCTTGTTTCTATATTAAATATTTTTTCCAAAATCATCCTAAAATTTACAGTGCCGTACTTTAAACAATGATATGAAGGGGTGTATAAAAGAGGAGTCCAGATTCTAGGATACATGTTCGGAAAATACATATAAAAGGGAGTGTATTAGTAATCAGAGGGGTGTAAATAGCAACTCCCCCTATGTAATTTGGAGGTAGAAGATACTATCCCTTGGCTAAGTTCACTCTCGACTTTTTCAATTATTTTGATAAAAATGTCCTTCATAAAAATAAATAAAATAAAATGGTAAATCATTAAAAAACAATTTAGTCCTTTAAAATTTTTTCTTGAAATAAATAAAATGGTATTTAAAATTATAAAATCATTCTGATTCTTGTAGTGAATTATAAAGAATAAAATGTAATTGAACTATTATAACTCAACAATAATTTTTCTTATGACAAAAATTAAAATTTGTAATCATTAAATTGATTCACAATTTATAATTTCAAAGACCCTTTTGTCATTCTATTGCTTTCATATATCAGTTTCACTAATTATTACAAATTAAAAAACAAAATTGATTTCAAGCATACAAATTTATAGTTCATTATGTTATTTTATTATTTTAAAAAATAAATTTAACAGGTTATTGCAACTCTTTAGACTAAAATAATAATTTATATATAACCGAGTTATTACTCACTGTTTAACTGAGAATTATGGTTAAAAAAAATACCATTTATGATAAGTGTTAAAGTGAGCTATAACAAAGCATGTCAGCTTGACTCATGATTTCGGGACACGAAAATAGTTGAAAAAAATTTATTTTTATTATTAATATTAACACAAACAAGTTCACAAACATGTTTCTATTACTAATATATTATGTTAATGTATAAGACACTACTTATCTATGCTATAGGATTAACATTATATTTAATATTATGCTACGCCTATTATTCGTATATTTCATATTTTTATCTTCTAATATTTTCTTATGGATGAGAAGTATACAATTATAGATTTAGGTTCGTAGTTATAATCTTCTTAATTTAAATATATTATAAAAATTTTACAATTTTGTATAATTTTCTTTATAATTATGTAATTGTTTCTCATAAATACAAATGTTAATATATATATATATATATATATATATATATATATTATTTTAATATGTCAACTAATTTAATTAATTAAGAGTGTGCTGATTGTTATGATAATTTTGTTAGATTAATTTTTATGTTAGAAAATATTATTCGTTTTGACGTCATAAATTTTTTTAAATGTATTTTAATAAATTAAAAGAAAAAATATATTTAAATTATTCTTGAATTCAACTCGACTAATAAGAAGAGTGACGAAGATATTAGAACCTAAATGAATTAGATCTCATCATAATTGTTATGATGACCATATGATAAATTAAGTTAGTCAAACTTATTTAAAACTAATTCTATTTGGTTAAATTTTCAGTAGAGATTGGGTGTGAACGTCAAGTAGACAAAAACAAGGTGGGAATAGTAAGGCCCTTATGAGGACGGATCATGGGCCACAAGAAGACCCACCCTTATTAGACCGTGCTTTGGGGTTAGAGTTCCACTCTTGTTTTCGTGTTTACTCTGCGCGATTGCAATCGTTTCAACTCCTTCATTTCGTCGCCATTCATGGGTTTCTCCAGAGAACACCTTCTTGCGCGGTTAAAGGTTCGGTCTCTTCCTATCTCATCACTGTTCTTATCTATCCCCAATCAGAAAATGCCTCAAACATAATCTACTTCGGAACCATTTTTTTTTTTCACAGGAGCTTCAAATTCCATTTTCCCAGTACAAACATCCAGTTGTTTTGACAGTTGACGCTCAGGTAAAACTCGTTAATACAATGCTATATCCTCCGTTTCTTGTTCGTTTCATTGTAATATTATTGCTGATTCAGTGTCCTTAATCTTACCTTCAGGCTCAATATGTTGGACATTTGGGGGGTGGGCTCAGTAAGAATTTATTTCTCAAGGTGTGATATAATACAAGAGGAAAATGAAATTCTATATAATTTTGTTGCTTTTAGTTTATAAATTGTTATGGGTATGCCTTGATTAATTACTATATCTTTTAATTTAAACAGGATAAGAAAAACAGGTTGTATGTTGTTTCTGCTTTAGCTGCTACCAAAGTAGATCTTAAAGGTATGCATGATTTTGTTAACATTGGGATTTTGAATGGTTTAACTTCAATGGGCATCAATAGATTCCTTTGTTGCTTCAAAGCTGAGCAGTATTATCTCAGCGGCTTGGTTTGGGAAAAGGGGGTCTCAGAATGGCACCTGAGGAGGCTCTAGGTGAAGTACTTCAGGTCTGCCTATGACTTTGCTCTATTTTAATGTTGGAACTGTCATTCCTCTCTTTCACTCTTCCCTTGTACAAGAAACTCTGTTCATTTAAGTCACCAAAAATCTCAAGAGGCTTGTGCTCTGAAATTTCTATTGACTTCTTAACAGTCTTTGCATAAACACATGAATTGTAAATTAGGTCAGTTACTTTGTTATTTCTCTGCATTATATAATGTTTTAGAAAAAAATTCTTATTGAGGCATTCACTATCACGGATTGAGTCGATGGCGGAAATTGATAAATCCGGTTATACTTGCTGTGGTCAAAGGATTTTTCCAAGTCGTCATGGAAACTGTTTCATAGCTTTTATCTGTAGCATATTCATTATCATTATGGGTTTTCTGCCGTTTTCCTTGATCAACGATTGATAACCATAGAACGCAATTATCAATCGATGTAAAATGTTCCTTTTGTTGTTTTATTTGTTGTTTGTTGATACTGTCGTTATGTTTCAATTATATAATGATTACTTCTATTATGCTAAGCCAGAAATTAATTATTATAAAATTTAAGAAGAAACCAAGATTTTGTGAATGCATGATTGAAATTATTGTCTTACATGACGACGTTATATTCCTTATTTCGCCAGGTACCCTTGGGTTGTGTCACTCCATTTGCACTAGTGAACGAATCAGCACGGTATGCTTGTGTTCTTATGTTGTTTGTTTGCTTATGAGATATTTAATTTTGTTCATGGGAATCATTCGGTCACATAGCCAAGTTGATTGCAATTCTGTTCTTTGGACCTCATTACTAAAGGCATTTCCCTTTTTCATTATTAAGTTTTTTCAATTAGAAATCCATTCATCAATGTTTTCCTTGTAGTTGTAGCTTTTTTAGTCTTAAATCATATACCTCTATCATTCTTCTCGCTTTCTCATGAAGTTACTTCATTTATTTATGAAAATCCTACTAGTGTTGAATGTAGTTGTTGCTTCTTTCCTGCCATCAAATATAAATGATCTTCTCTTGAATGAATGAATTAATTAAATCTGTTGAATTGTTAATAATTTGTTGATCTTGATCACGCTCGCTTTGTTACTGGCTTGTTCATGTTTATGTGTTTCTTGTTTGACTATTTGTAAACATTGTACTGATCCACTCAACTAATCTATTTCTAAGGACCTAATGTATTTTTTCTTTCATGTCAAATCATTTTTTTTTTCTGAAGAGATGTGTCACTACTATTGGATCAAGGGTTCAAGACTCAGGAGCATTGCTTCTTCCATCCACTGTCAAATGATATGTCTATATGTAAGCAAGTAGAATCTTAATAAAATTGTTTGTGCATTTTATTTAACTTTTTAAAGTTGATAAGCATTTTATAGATGCAATCCTCCACATTAAAGAATTCTTTTGCTTGTATTTGTCTTACATCATGGGTCCACCAATTGATATCTGAAATCCAATCAGGACTTCCTTTCATGCTTACTTACTATTTGACTGTTTTCGAAATTAAATATTAAATGGTGATGGTATTTTGTATTCAAATGATATCTTTTAGCTCATCTATGCATCTATGTTGTTGTAAGACATAAGGTTTGAGGCTCTTTTCAGATCTGTTATTCTTTGATGCACTGAAAAGCTCTGTTAATTAGAGTCGTGTCTACAAATGCAGCTCTTAAAGCATGCGATCTTGACAAGTTTCTTAAATCAATTGGAAGAAATCCCTCATACGTTGATTTGGAGGTGGGTAAATTCGAGGCACATAATTTAAAAAAAAGAGAAAATTCTTTAATTATTTCATTCATGATCATCATATATCTGCCTTATCCCCCTGCAGGCCAATCCTACTGTGGGGAAAGATCAACCCCCTGATCTAGCTGCACTAGTTCCATCTGGTTCAATAGTTTTACCCGATCAACCACAAAAGCAATCTTCTTTGCAGGTTCCTACGGATGCAAATCATGTTTCAGTGGATAATGGAACAAGTACAGTTTCAGGTAAAGAAAATATATTAACTACATTCAATTTCATTTATGTATTATTTGCATTGAAGCAACAGCCGTTTTGTTTCCATTGTCTTCATTCCTATGATTTGGATAGTACTCAAAGAGAGTATTGTGCATCTGTTCCTTCATTTTCTTTTTTGTTTAGTAACCGGTAATGGTGCCTTGCTTTATCACTGATTTTTTTCCCTTTACATGATACTCCCTCTGGTTCTTTTTATAAGAGACAAATAACTAATTTGTTAAGACCAATAAAAGTAGATAATGTAGTTAGTTTTAATTAATAACATAAAAAAAAAATCTCAAATTACCTATGAAATTAAATGATAAGTAGTGGTAATATTTAATGACTCTGCACATAGTTCAAGAGGTAATTTTCTTTCCACCAATGAATGTGACATATGTGGTTTATAGGTCAATAAATTGAATCAGTCATCATTGTTAAAGTTCCAACATAAAACCAAGTGACAATATATGGGTTAGCCTAATAGGTATTTAAACCATACATGAGACAGACAATATGAAACTTCCAACATGTCCCCTCTAATGAACCTGCCGGACCAGACAAATGGTATTTTAAGGGCAACTTTTGGTCCAAGACAACAACAAATGATACTTTTGACCCACAACGGAAGGACAACTTTTGGCTCAAGATAATAACCAGAATAAGTTAGGGTTTGACTTTGATGCCATATTAAGGTTCTAACGTAAAATCAATTGACAATATGTAGAATAATCTAACAAGCATTTTGACCATACCACATGATATGAGGCAGACGATGTGAGACTTCCAACAATAACAAGAGATAATAACCAGAATAAGTTAGACTTTGACTTTGATACTATATTAAGGTTCTAACGTAAAATCAATTGGCAATACGTAGAATAGTCTAACAAGCATTTAGACCATACCACATGACATGAGGCAGACGATGTGAGACTTCCAACAATAACAAATGAGTAAGCATCTCATTAATAGAGTTCACTTTAGATGAAGGGTATAAAAAAGAATTAACAATTAATATGGGCTCATGTTTTGTATAATTATGACAAAAAATGAACTCATTTGTTTCATGTATAAAGGCCAGAGGGAGCAGTCTTTATTTTATTTTGCCATATATCTTAAATGCAAGCAACCTTGGTAGTTTAATTTATCAAAATTTGATTTCTGAAATCTCGTGCAGAGCCAGATTTTGTGATGCCACTTAATGTAATTGATAGGAATCAGTCCAAACCAAGATCTTAGCATAAGATAAATGAAAAAAAAAATGATTATATGTGGCAGCTCATATAACCTGCTTTATCTCCTATGTCCTTGAAGATTAGCTCAAGGTTATATAGTCATCGAAAATTTTTACATTAGGCATGTTAGCAATGTATAATTTATTCTGTGAGCAGTCATTTTTTTGTGGTCTATTCAAGAAATGAAATGATTACACTTGTAAACTGACAGTCTTCTATTTTATTTTATTTTTCCTCTTTTGCAAGTTGTTGGAATAATTTCTAACTCTTTTTTTTACTCTGTTAACGGTTTCTTTCTTCATCCTTAAAACTGTCAATAGAGGATGAATCCATTAAATGAATTTGGTACCATTTCAAATTTTGGAAGTATAAAAGGGCTTACCATTGACCTTGTGGTCTTTCTGAGACAGTCTACAAGTTTATCTATGCAGTTAAATGTGCAAGCTTTTGTATGCATGTACATTGGATGAAGCGGCTGTATGCAATATGCTGTTGCATTAGCAACTACTGAATGTGATAAGTTCCCAAGCACATGAAGAACACACTCTTAAAAGTAGGGTAGGCGTGGATTGGATTTTCATCATGTCTAAATCCAATAGAGTAGATTGGATTTGAAATCCAGATCCATTTAATTGGGATCAAAATAATTTGGATTTTTTGAATCTAGTATAAATTTGGATTGAAATTAGTTTAAAGTCCATATCCATTTAATTCATTTAATTTAATTTGGATAAAATTGACATTAAAATCAAGGCTATTATATCTAATAAATTCAAATTCAGTTTTATTTGGACTAATTTAGTTGTATTTTTTTCACTAAATGATTAGGATATTTCTTTAAGATTAGATTGTTAATTTTGGGAGAGGGAGTTATCGTATAGAGTGATTGGTTCAACAAGAGGATATAAGTAGTCGATCACCTGTATGCTTTATTATGTGACAATATGACCACCTATATGCTTTATGTGTTGGTCTATTTTTCATATAATGGTTTATTGCTTCATGATTTTTTTTTTATTTCCCTTAATATTAGTTGAGAAAATAAAAGAAAATTATGTGATGAACAAGATTCATTGGCCTTTTTAGGTTGATTGGCCTAGTTAAGCTTATTGGCTTGTGTGTAGGTTTTTCTATAAATCAGGTCACCTAAATAGACTTTTAAGTTAGGCCGTCCTTTTGAACAGCCATACTTAGGCTTTAAAAAAGGCACAAATAGGCAAACGATGCTTTTGTCGAAGCCGTCCCAAACGATGTTGTACTGATGATTCTCTAGTAGAGACCCCGAGCCAATAAAGTCCCCTGTAAAGGCTTAACTTAACACTTTATCTACAAGTCCATAATATCTGGGTCCTCTCAGACTGTTACAAGGTTTTAGCATTAAGTTGTTCTGGCTTATATTTTTCACAATTAACCTCACTATTGCATACGAAAGTTCAGTACATTAGTTAGCAGAAAAAGCTTGTTTGTGGGTGAGATATCCAACGCTGATTAAATAAGTAATTTTTTCTGAAGCAGCCAAAGTTGTCAAGCCCTCTGGTGGGAAAACTACAAAAGGACCGGTAAAAAATGTTAATTCATCAGGCTCCTTTGCAGATGTTGGTCAATTTGTTGAAGAGATATTGCAAAAAACATCACAGTTATTGCTTTCAGAGGTAAAACATTTTTTTCTATTCAAACTTTAGCTGTACATCCTGCGTCAGGCTGAAGAATCTTGGTCATACAGGTCAAGGAAGAAAATATGAAGTTACACGGGGAGCAGCTGGGTACTGTGGTATCTAACAAATTGCAGAAGAACCTTAGTTCAGAGTTTAAGAACCTTGCTGTAAGTATACGAACATGCTATTAAACTTTTCCTCATCTCAGGGAATCAAACCCTCCATGTTATGCAATTATGCTTCTTATCACTAATATTTTTTTATTTTTTTATTGCAGATGATATTCAAGAACACAGCATATACAGAAGGGTTCCATGCTGGTACTCACTATCGGCCCCCGCTCATGTGAAGGATGATTTAGTATTTGGCACGAAAGTAAGAGGGCCCAAAATTGTAACCCTATTTGTTCAATATTTAGTTTGTGATAACATGGTGTTTGATACAAAATAGATTATTTGAAAAATTTGTTCAATGATAGAACGAGGCACATTAAAGTGGTCAATTTTATAACCATGCTAATGAAAGTCAAACCCAAAATTTCTGTTTAAAGAGATGAAGTCGAGTATTAGTCGGATCACATGGTGGTCAACTTAGCTTGAAGTCATCTTTTTAAAATAAGAAACTATTTCTGAATATTCTCCAAACGATAGTAATTATAAATTTGGATATGTATTACGTGCTATTTCTTTTCGCTTTATGATCTTCATCTATTAACTCTATACTTCAATCTTTTTCCATCTATTAACTATATACTATTAGGATTTTTCAAAATAAAGAATTGATTAACTCTTTACTAGTTACATTTTTAGTTAATCATTAGCAATTATTGTGTATAAATCTTTAAAGTCTACTATTTCATTTATATTATTATTTAATATCTTGCTTTATAATTTTGTCATGTACTTATTTTAACTGGAATCAAATGTTACTATAATTTTTTTATGAATTAGTGGTCTTATTTTATTTTATTGTTTAGGGATCACGAATAGATGGTTGATATATTCCAATTAAAAACAATTATATAAACTCAAATGGGATTTTAGGAATCTTCACTCAAAATGAATTGAATAGAAATGTACTGGTTATGTAACTTTGTGTTAACAATAAATAGAAACTAATAATATTTGGTATATGTAGGGAAGGAGAACTTTTGTTTCTCTAAAGGATTAAAACGAGATTTGATAATTCTTTTATAATTTTTGGTAATGATTAATAAATTTTTACTCACAACACAAAATACCCCAACATAAATATCAAACTTAAAAAAAATATTTTTAGGAAGAATTTTAATAAAAATGATCAGTTAAATATTAGTTATCCATAAAGTTAATAGATAGGTAGCATTTGTAATTTTATTTTTTTTATAAAAAAAGTGCGCCTGTATTGTGATAATTGTCATTGCCAATAACAAATAATATCTATTTACAGCGTACACATAACCAATAATCATGGCAATGTGACATCTCGTACTTCGAATTGTAGTATATGGCGATGAACCCAATTTTCAACTCGATTGAAACTTGAGGGCCAATTTACTTAATTTTTGAGTCGCTAGCCCATGTTACCCTGCAAAACGCATTTCAGCCGTTGAAACTTTATTTAGAAACAGGCCCTTCGGCACGTGTAATTTATTTATGTGTGGTTTAATTAACAGTTTGGCCTCAATACTGTACACCTCTTTCGTTTTAATTGACGTGTAAGTTATTTATGAGTGTGGTTTAAATTTATTTTTTCCCGCTTGTAGTCCTAGATATTTGCTGCTTTAGTTTATACTATAAACTTTTGGTATTTGATTATTTTTATATTGATTTTCTTTTTCATTTTAATCCATATTAGTTTATAAACATAATTTTATTTTCCAATGTCCATAAATCATGTGATTAATTAAGATGGACAAGCACTAAAACTTAATTTTCATGAGGGACTAAGTGACAAGATTTTTTTCTAAAGAGAAAAGCGAAAGAGGTATATATTAATTAGGAGATTTTAAAGTTAATTAAAGTGTTATTTATTTATTTATTTTTAAATGTTGAAAAGAGGTTTGAAATTAACTTACTGGTGATCATGACATGTTGTCTATTGCCATAACAGACAAGTTGAAATCCTAACTGGTTCATCAGCCAGGGATATAAATCATTGGAGAGCTTAAAGAATGCAGCAGGGTTGCCTCCTATTAGCTGCTGAAAATGAAAGCAAATATGAAGGTTACTTTTCAGTATTTGGTGCCAACATTCAATTCAAGCACCACAATCTAACACCTGATACTCATCAATATGCAGTTTTGTTTTGTTTCTTTTGTTGCAATTTTTTGTTTTTCCTTTTCCCTATTAGGTTTCTAATTTATTGAGAGAATCCTATAAGAGTTGGAATTTGGTTCGTATACCTCTAGAGAATAGTGTCGGACTGTCAGATGGAGAATATTCTGGTCAACAAAAAAAAATAATAAATGGTGAGCCAAATCGCGTAATTGAAGACTAATAACCCTTTGAAATTTCAGAAAATCTCCTAAACTTATTTTTTCTATTGTTTCTGCATCAATCGAATTCAGATATAATCAAAAGACATTTCAATCTGAGAAAATTTTTAGACAAGCTTAACATCAAAACGATCAATTAAAAGCTCAAAATATTTTTAAAATTGTATCCAGGCTTACATAAAAATCTATCTTAAGCTCATTTTAAACTATTGATTGATTAATTGTATGACTGTACAAGCATTGTGATCATACAAAAATTTCTCCTCAAATCAGAAATAACACTGGTAGTGCATTTTAACCACAGTCTCAAACGAATAAATGGATTACGAACAGAGAATTGGAATTTGGTAAGAGAATAATTCTAACAACCCAACTCTTTCACAGCAAGTGATAATTCAATAATTCATTAGATAGCAATTATAGAGCAAACAATGGGTTTAATTGAATCGAATGCACCAGCACTACCAGAACAACATAACAGTGACAACATCAGTAACACAGGTATGAAATACTAATTTGAAAGAGTGATGAAGATTGAATGATAAACAGTGAATTGAATTAAATTAAGCATGATTCACCCCTGGAAGAAGCAGCAGCAACATTATTATTTCCTTGAGGGTGAACCCGTCGATACCTTGAATTGAAAGGCCAAAGCGAAGTAAAACGACGGGTCCACCTCAAGCACCTCCGCAACCTACCTTCATCTCCGCTAACATCAACGCATTCGTCGTCCTCCGAAGACGACGACGGCACAGGCATCTCGTGACGGCACACAGGACAAGAATTGTGAAGCCTCAGCCACGGAATAATGCAATCAGAGTGATATATATGTTTGCACGCAAGTTCCCTCGCTTCTCCGCCAACTTCGAAATCCTCCTGACAAACCGGACACTGAGAATTCTCTTTCAGATGCGCGCTCGCGATTTTCACCGTCGGAATCGCTTCGATAGCCCTCTCCGGCGCTGGAGCGGGACCCGGTCTGTCGTTTTCAGTTATCTGTTCTATAAGTTGGTTGAATCCGGGCCCGAAGAAATAGTCGCGCGCGTCCACGGTGCGCGGGAGTGGGAATGGGCCTGGGCCGGGGTGGTTATGAATGTTGTTAATGGGCTGGAAAGGGTTGGGTGGGTCCATAGGATGGAAGACGATCCAAGTGCGAGGGCGGTGGTGGTGGGGTTCAGGGACGGGTTCGGGTTGGCGTCGTCGAGGGCGGCTGCGGCGGTGGTGCACGGGGACCTCTTGGGGTTCGGGTTGGATGAGATCCGGGAAGCGGCGGATGGGTGGGTCCATCATGATTGAAAGCGCTTCGAGCAAACGGGCTTCTGGGGAGGGGTCTGGGGTGGTAAAATCAACCACGAGTCTTGGGCGCGGCACGTTTACTTCGCATATGAATTGGCCGAAGCAGCGGGGACACGTGACCTCTGAGGGGTTATTATCCACTGCGATGCGGACCATGCGCCTGCACTGGAAGCACCAGTACATCTGGAACGTTAGCCTCGCTCGCCTTTGGGCATGCCCGTTGTATCTCTCTCTCGGAGGACTCAATGACATGGTTGATTCTTTTTGTTGTTAAAGTTTATTATGGTTTAGAATTGGCGTATGAGAATGCTATATAGGAGAAGAGGGAGGGATGACTTTTGGGTTTGCATGAAGTGATTCTTTTTAGCTAGGATAGGCTTTGAGTTCAGGCTTTGCTTTGCACTGTTCCTTGCATGGGTAGGAAAAGCATGAGTGTTAATTTGGGACAAAACTAAACAAATTCCAACGTGTTTTCTTTTGTTCTTCGACTTTGGATTTCCACCTCAAAACGAGACACAAGTTGTTTTGGTTGTTCATCATTATCAGTCCAAAATGTTGTACACTTGTTCACGGGGTTGGATTGGATTGAGTCAACAAACCACGTTGCCTTGCTCAATAGGCCTCGCCTTGGTACTGTTATCATCAGGTTTGGATCAATGTTGAACTAAGCTTACACTTAACCCTACGCTCAAAAATAGAGAAACCCTAGTGGGCTTCGGTCCAAGGCCCGCTTTTTTTGTGTGTATTAAGATGCTTTTAAAATTTGTTTAGAGTCCAATTTATTAGTAGATACAAGAACATCTCAAATGTCATCAATTTAAGATACTCACTTTCATTTTTCTTCTATTAAAGTAATTTGACCTATTCCAACAAAGATATTATTTTAAAATATTTTTTAAGTTAAATCTTGTATGGCTAATAGTTTACCTTCCTTAAATTCTCACTGCCATAACTTTGTATATGGAAAATTCAATCCTCTTAATTTATTATCTATTGAAGATCCGTGGAAGTCAAAAGGGGCACAATTTGACCTAAATTCATAGGATGTCATTATAATTTGTCCTTGACAAGCATTCAAATGATTCTGTTGACACAATTATTAACTGATAATTATGCTAGGTTTAAACTAGATCGCTTAATGGAATTTTAGGCAAGTCCATTTTAGGAAGGAGCTTATTCGCTTCAGCATTGAGCAATGTCATATTATATATCAAAAGTGGTACTTTTCCAGCTTATACTTTCGTCCAAAACTATGAGGATAGAGGCATATATACATCTATTCATGGACATTCTTCGGTAACAATTTTCCAGCTTATACCTTTGTCCCAAACGATGAGGATGAGAGACAGATGTATAATGTCCCAACAATAATACATGCAATGATAAACAATATTGCTAAAGAAATTGGGTAAAAAATAATATTTGCTATAATTTTTAAATGTTAAAATTGTGTTTTAGGTCTTTTAAACTTTACGAGTATACTATAGTGGTCCATACCAAAATGAAAAATAAATAGCGATGGTTACAGTACGTGGAAGGGGCCACTACCTCACCCTCTTTATACTCCTCCATGCAAATGGGACAGTGACATTTGTATCTCTCAAAGGACTTGGGAATTAAGTGTTTCATTGATGACACAAATGGGCATGGGAGGGCCACCACTGGGTTTCATGCTATCATTGCTTAATGCTCTAAGATCATGAATGCTATGAGAAGGGTCTTTCCATCTTCTACTGGGACTACATTGTAACTCACAAACTCTGAATCATTTATTAGAGCTTGGAATTAAAATTGCTGCAAAGCATGTACTATAAAAAAAAAAGGCCTATTTAACTATGTTTGTTTCTCAAGAGACGAATAAAAAATGAAGCAATTATCAATTTGAAGAACGGAAATGACGAGTGAAGCAGTTAAGAAAAGTGAGATGCAAGATTATTGATATGATATTGTTGTGTCATCTCATCCTCTTTGTTCTTCCTTGCTTATTAAGCAAATTTTGTTAACATTCAACTGGGCCAAGTGGACTCGTACCACCAGAGGACAAAAAAAATCAACTCAAGACTTATACGTGGGACTGTGGATGGCCTTAATTTTCTCCTTCTCTTAGAAAAAAGTAAAGCCTTTTGGAAATGGACTTTATACTAGCTTGGTTTTTTCAGTGGCTAGGGCAACTATGTGCTGTTATGTTCGTAGAGTTTTTCAACCCAAATTTGGGAACATAATGATGAAACTCTGGGACATCAAAATGATAGTCATGGACGTATCTTTTGCTCTCGCACATGATCCAAGTAAAAAAGGTTTGGTTAGTGGGCATAATTCAAGTTGGAACTTCCAAGCATTTATGATCAAATTACTTCATACAAGCTGTGTGATCGATCGACACATCTCATAACAATTACATTTGACCGCATTTAAAAAAAAAGTGCATTTATTATTGGATTTAATTTAAATTCATAAACAATATTAAGAATGTTTTAGATTATTGTTAAATTAATTGTGTCATATTTATAATAAAATAATTTGATTTTATAATAACTTTCCTAAAAATCACATACATCATTAATTATTTCTAATCAGTTATCACTATAAAGCCTATAAAAATTAAACTCATGAGTTTGGGGTGTTAACTTCATATTTTGCTAGTAGTCTTCTGGTCAACAATTTCTTCATTTGCAAGTTAGTTTGTATTTACCCTTTGTAGAATGATTCAGGAAATATAATAATTAAAAAAAAAAGATACTATATATATTCAGTGAAATTATTGAACAATTATTTATCATTTATTTATTCTCTATATTTATCATATCACATATCTCCTCCTTCCAATCTCTTTCTTATTTATATGAAATATTGCATGTGTTTGGTGTAATAATTTAAATATTAGGTGCGTTTGTGTGAGATGAGAGAGGTAGTTTTCTTTTCTTAAGGTACACTACTATATATATTTAACACACCATTTCAATATTTTCTCACAATAAAACTATAACTTTTAATATATATTCTCTTGAAAATAGTTTGTGTATCATAATAAAAGCTCATATGTTAATATACTCTCTTATTTTTTTTATGAATATATCAACAATATAAAAAAAAAAAATAAGCTACAAATTGATAGTACATGATGCTTGGAAGAATTTTTTTTTCTTGACAAAAATCAAAGAAGGGTTATGTTGATTGCACACGTAAAATGTGTTGGTTATTGACTTTGGTAATGAAAAGAAGAGGACTAAAAAATGAAAAACATATTTTTTTGTGTGGTTTATATGAAAAAGTGTGTTTTGGTGACGTTTCCTAAGAAATTTTCCACTTGGAATATTTTTGAGATTTATCGCTGCCTAAGGTATTATTGTTGAATTGAGCGATAGTGGCAACGTTCATCTACCGTCTCTCTCAAGAAAAGGAAATATCTTTCCAATTCACCGACCATGTTTGCATATTTTGACCTAAAGACAAACTTCTTAAATGAAAGTATGATAAAATTACATAAACTATTTCATCAAAGTCGATGGTGACTTTCTTTTCAGTTCAAGCCACAAACGAAGGTTGTATTCAGTCCAAATTCCTAGAACTTCAACCAGAGTTGCTACAATTCTTTGACATTTTTCAGACTCCATTGAACATATATTTTACAAAATTCAGTTTACCAGTTCTTCTTGTTGGTATTCCATGTATATTAGGTGGTGCTGAATTTTATGGGTAGGGCTACATTTAATGATGTGTTTTGCTGATGAAGCACCCAGCTGATTTTGAAATACGAGCTGAACGATGATCCACGCGTCTGATGAACAGGCTAACGAAGTCGGTTCATAGCACAATCAATTAATTGAGGCCTAAGTTTAGGTCTCACTTTTGCATAGGTTTCAAAAGTTTTTTTTTTTCATAAAAAAAGTGGTAAAATGAGAAGAAATATGGTGAAGAATCCTCCATATGACAAAGTAATAAGATGATGATATCATGTTGAGATTATTCTCACTAATTAATATTTATTTAGAATTTGTTATATAACTTCAAACCACAATCAATTTTATTTAAGTATTAGTTTGAAAAACAGTTGTTCATCGAGGGAAGAAACTAGCCTATGCAGGATTTAAACCTATCTATGTATATTAAAACTCCAATTGAAAAATTAAGGATTATACTAAATGTCTTCACGAATGTATGGATAATTTATAAAATATTATTAATTTTATTCTAGGTATTATAACTTTAGCAGATAAAATTTATCAAATTAATATTAACAAATTTTTGATATAGGTATATGTTTGAGTTGATTTTTATTCGGAAACAAGTTAATTATATGACTATTTTTTTAATATATTTTAAACTGTATTACACCTTTTATTGAGGGTTTTTCATTCATACACAAATTCAATGAGTATATTTTAGTTTTTTTTAATAAAAAAATTCTTTTCTAAACTTCATACTAAAAATTTATGATTTATTCTACCACAGAAGGCAAGAAATTAAAGTAATTCATTCCAAATATTATTTAAAATAATGTCTCCACGTTACTAAAAAAACATTATAAAATTCATGTTTAAGACTTCAAATACACTAATTGAGGCAACCTGAAATATAAATGAAAAAAAAAAAAACAGACATGTAAATGATTTGTTTTTCCATGATGTGCAAAGATGATGATTGGTTGTACAAAATAAAAGAGACTAAATGACTTAATTGGAGAAATAATCTTAGTCATTTTTATGGTCAAATTAAGCTAGGTTTTCAAATGTTGTTGGTGATTAATTTCTTTACTACAATCATATCAACTAAACCCATCACAGTGTTTTAAAAGAAGAGATTTTTTTGTGCTCTTGACTATTGGAGATACATAAGTTTCTTGGTTTGTAATATTAAATGCTGGCCATTATAACAAAGAAAAAAATGTAACATGTAACAGAAGAAATAGTATCTATATACGATAGTCAAGAAAGACGATTGGCTTTGGATTAATTTTAGGTGAATTGACCTACGCACTCACAGAGTCACACACAACTGTGGTTCATAATCTTTCCACGTTGATGAGTATGATTAGTCACTGTAACTAATATAGGACTAAAAAATTATACTGGAGAAAATATAGCATAAGGTTCGCAGCATCACGCCTTTAAGATTTTGAGTTTACATCTTATTTTTGTCACCCCGCCATGCTTCTTTTGAACTAAGGACAAACTTTCGTTCCTTTTCTTTTTCAAAGGCTCAAACGTCACTATGTACGTAACACTTTTTTAAGTTCCTTATATTAAAAACTT